AGGGCTAACCTCCAAACTTCCTTTCGGGATGCTTATTTATTCCAAATGCATGATGGGAAACCGAGTACTTACGGATTTTCAGCTCCTCTAAAAATTCCTCTGACAACTTCCCCTTCGACATTTCCTATGAAACTGTAAGTATTTCAACAGACGAAAATAAAAAAGTAATTTTTTCCGATAATTCTATTGATTTCTTTGTTCTAATTTGTGTATTACTCGGTTTCCCATCATGCTTTGTGCTAGAGATTCGTGCTCGTGGGCTTCCTGTGTAATGATGAGCGCGCAAAGTGTTGTAGGTAATCCTAAGGGATCCCCCTGACGGTCACGCGACCATGCATATTGATAATAATAGCAACTGAATCAATGATTTTACTTTTTATTTGCCCAAAAATGGATAGTTTGGTATCTTCCAGGACCAGAATATATCCTCAACTGCTGTTCTTAGCCTTCACTAAGATCATTTTCTTCAAAAAGAGTTGATTTACTAGTATTTGCCATATATTCAAGGAAAACGTGCTCAAGTAATTCGTGGAACAAGTTCTATCATGTCGTCTTCAAAATTAGAGGGTTTYATAAAGACAACAAATTCTACTTCACAATCAACAATAACAAGATATTTCTGTAATTATGTACTGTATGCTACTGTCAAGGAAAGGTAGGTCTAGTTTGAAGCTTAAGATGTCAAAAACCTTTCGAGATGTTACGCTCCTCATCATCTGCAAATTTTGCAAAAATTCATGAGCATTCGAGCTTAGCTTATAATATTGCTTTAATAACTTTGATAACCTAATAAGCTTATTAATATCAAAAAATATAATTATATTATCATTATTTTCATTAAAAGCTGTACAATCGTATCAAACTCTTTTTATTTTCCTTGCTCATTATTTTATTAGTTCTTTTACTTTTGCTTTCACTTTTGCTTTTTTTCTTTATTTAAATTAGGGACTGCTAGTCATAAAGTAAAGGGGAGTGGGGTGAGGGTTGGACTGTGTTTGGAACTTCTCATAAGACTGTACAGTAGAGGAGGTTTGTTTTTCATTTCTTGCATGGAAACTTGGGGGGAGGGGGGGGCATCATTTTTTCAACTTGATTTTATACTGGGCCAACAAAAAAGGAGCTCCTACAAATTCATTTTAACCCCCCACCCCCCAGTACTTTATAAGCAGCCCCTTATTTTCTGTTATTTGGCTGACAGAAATAATATTTTTTGTCTAATTAATGCCTTAGACAACTTTAAGTTGTTTTATACATGTATACACCTATTTTAAAAAACGTTGTCACCGCCATAGCCGATATGTCATCCCAATAAGGAAATGGTTTGTTGAATATGAAGAACATTGCATCAGTCTCAACACTAAGGTCAAACACATCAAGTCATTCCAGCTATTCTTGGATCTTTAAAAATGACTAATTCTTTTTTGCTTTTCACCTACCACCTATTGCCGATTGTCTTTTGGTGACAACATTAGTTTTTGTATTAGGTTTATAACATTAGACCATTTGTTAATAAATTATTGTTTTACATTATGCAATTTTCTTCCAGTTCTATTCGTATATTGGACATTGTTCTACTCGTGCCTAATGCCCTCTTCGTTTATAACATTAGACCATTTATTAATAAATTATCGTTTTACATAATACAGTATACTGTAATTTTCTTCCAGTTCTATTCGTATATTGGACATTGTTCTACTGGTGCCTAATGCCCTCTTCATGGTCTTCTTGTTCTTTGGACTATCCAAAGCATTACTCAAATTTAATCTTGTCCACTGCCCAATTGTTAAAACAGTATTTACTCTTGTAAGTATCTTATTGATCTTTTTTTGTAAAAAAGCTTCATATGCAACATTAGCAATCCGTTGGCAAATCCAGAACAATGTCAAGTGGAGTGACTGTTGCTTAGTAAGGCATCACATAGCGTCCTTTTTTGGTCTTACCTTATCCTTTATTTTTGTCATTATCAATTCCATAGGGGCCGGAGTGACTACTGGTAGCCATGTAATCCACACTTGATTTGAAAATTAAAATTTCTGTAATTAAAATTTCTCCAGTTTTGGAAAGTTCAATTACTCCAACCAATTGGTGCACCCAGAAAATTTTTTATACAATTATAAGCCAATAACAATTGAGTATTTTTAACACAATAAAATCTGACCAACCATTTAAAAACATTATATTATATTTTTATATTTTTTTAATTTTTACACTTCATACTCCAGAATTTGATTAATTTGTCGCCATCATATTAATTATTCAGCATCAGAAACGATGATTTATAAATTTAATTTGAAATTTGTTTCAGCAGCCTTAGTTAATGTAGTCACAATGTATTAATAATAATGATGATAATAATAATAATGACGATGATGATAATAATGATAATACATTGTTTATTGAGAGTAGCACATAACAGTTTTGTGACCTGTGGCTCTCTTTTTATTCCTCCTTCTAAAACTTGAATAAATAATTTAAATAGGCTAACAGACGAGAAGCTGAATCTTATTCATTTAATTTTGTTTTTTAACAGTTATGTCTAGTGTTTGTTTAAAATGTATTTTATGTTGGAAATTTTCAGTCTGAATTGTATTGGTATTAGAATAATGGATATTTTATCATGATTGTTTTTGTTGCTATGGAGTCATGAAGTCTCCATAAAAATGCCTTATTGGTGATTAACATATATGCATACTTCTGTTTCGTTAGGTTTTTGCAGTTTGTATAACAGGGGTGATTAAAAGTTTTGTATCTATGCTATTGAGAACTAGTAAAAGAGAAAAGCACAAGAATGATCTTGTTATCAAGGTATGTGTAACAATATCTCATTAAATCATTTGAGTTGGAAACTGTTTTTTATGCATGCATCTCCTATCAATTATGTTCTTGAATCAAGTCTTTCTGGTAGATTATTAATTCAAATCATGGGAATATCATTATTTTCATTAACTAAAAATTGGAAGGGCTGAGGCCCCTTTGAACCGAAACACTCATTATATTGATTACTTGGAGTAGGTGCTATAGCTTAATGCCAGACAGGATAAATATGATGCCCATAGGAACAGTATTTTCTTAAGGCCAGTTTAGACGGTACGGTTTTTGCCTACAACTATCGTATACAACACGCTCACGCCATCCTACAACTCGAGTCGTAGCATGTAAATCAAGCCTACAACTCGCCTATGACAGACGCGAGCGTGTTGCATACGATAGTTGTAGGCGAAAATTGTACCGTCTAAACTGGCCTTTAGTCAATGATATAAGGATTGATTTTCAATGTTTACAACAATCGATTCTTTTTTGAAATTCACAGATTTTATGGCTTATTCTAAGGTGCTTAGTGCTTAGTGTTGAGATGTGTGTTATTATTTTTGCCCTTTGTGCAGGTAATTATTGATTGACCTACTAAATGGCCCACCATCTGACAAACATCGATTACCAGACTGACTGTTTGAATGACTGATCACCAATGCAACCAACCGACCAACCATCTGACTGTCTGACTAACTGATCAACATCCACTGACCTACTGACTGACCGTCTGGCTGACTGATTACCAACCAACCGACCAACCATCTGACTGTCTGACTAACTGATCAACATCCACTGACCTACTGACTGACCATCTGGCTGACCGATCACCAACCAACTAACGAACTGACCGACTATCTGGTCGACTGACTACCAACTGACTGACCAACTGACTGACTGCCGGCTGACTGATTACCAACTGACTGACTGTCTGGCTGACTGATTACCAACTGACTGACCAACTGACTGACTGTCTGGCTGACTGATTACCAACTGACTGACTGTCTGGCTGACTGATTACCAACCAACTGACCAACTGACTGACTGTCTGGCTGACTGATTACCAACCAACTGACTGACTTTCTAGCTGACCAATTGACTAACTGAATCATGTTTAAAATATTCAATGAAGCACTTAACAAATTGTTCAAATATTTTAGCAGTGGTAAATAATTATACTTTCTATTTTTATGTTTACACTTCTATATTCTTTAGGAAAAGTTGACAGTAAGTATGGTGTTAGAGCAGTTCTGCTCATATCATCCACCTGCATCATTATATTCACCTCAACACAGGTAAGTTTGGTACATGATATATATACCAGCATGTTATCAGCCAAATGGGATCTAATATCTTTCACAGTCAATAGACCAAATTAACTTTGGCATAATATTTATCCATATTTGCAGACAACCTGTCATTCCCTAGATTATTATTTCTTTGTTAAGCGGTTAATATCAAATATCAATACAACTCCAACACACATTACAGTAAACATTAAGGTTAATTTGGCCTATAATGGAGCACACTGTAATTTTTAAATTTGTAATGGAGGGTTGGAGACGTGGATAGGGCATGGGGGGGGGGGGGTGTCCATCAATGATAAGTGCAACAGGGCTGATATTTTAAGAATATATATCCATGTGTACAGGCTATTTTTGTTTTAAATAACTTTTGATTTGCACTAAGATTCGCATAGAGTGTAACTACGTACAGAATAAAATGCTCAGGAAGTGTTGAGACCCTTTGCATTTACCTTCAACCTTTTGGTAATTTATTTGTTTGTTTCAGGCTACTCTGGAATTTACATTACGGAAGAATGAAATATATGGAGGGCGTTACAATATCTTTGAGCATGGTGGGATGATATTTTGGTTTGCAAGTTCCATTGTCTTTGCAATTGTAAGAAACTACTCAGACACATATTTCAGTATGATATTTATGGCTGTCGAAGTGGTTGAAAAATAAGAAACTGCAGATCCCAAAAGAACTCGTGGTAGCAGCGGTTTAATTTTTTAAGTAGAGGCATAGGAGAACAAGTGTTGTTTATGACATAAGGACCATTCACCCTGCCCCTCTACCCCCCTCCACTCCAGTAGCAGACTGCTAAGGATGGATTTCTGTCTTAATATCTTTTTCTGTCATCATGGAATGTTGCTGTATATATAGTGACTACCTTGCATTTTCCAAATGTTCTATTTTTTATATTTATTTCATAGTGTTCTTGACTTTAGGCCATTTTTATTACAGGTTTATTGTGTTATAATAATCCTGCCTTTTACACGTCTCAGGCAGCACCATATATTCCCAAGTAAGTTGAAGGAAAACTACTTACCATCAAGCTTGGCAGCAGACAGTTTAAGAATCAGATGCAACAGTAGACAGTTAAAGGTACAGTAAAAGAAAAAACAGGCAAGTGAAGCTGCAGCAAACATCCAGGTACATATTAGGTGAATAGGCACAGGTGTATATAGACATTAATGCACTGTATAGTAAGGCACAGTAGCAGACAGTCAAGCATAACATTAAACAGTCAGATACATAGGTGAATAGGCAGAGCAATATAATCATAGTCAAGCATGAAGTTGCTAATACAGAGGCGGATCCAGGGGGTGCAGGTGTTGTGCACCCCACCTGGTTCAATTTTGTGTCCCTACTTCRAAGTAACCAATACTGGTTTTTCCTTTTGATTCTAAGGGGTGCACCCTCCCTGAGTTAATTTTGTGTGCAGCACCCCCCTGAACAAAATCCTGGATCCGTCCCTGTAATAGTATACACCATTGCATTTTTCTTGCAATGGCATCACAATCTTAGATTGTTCAATGCCACCACACATTGCATTATGTACATTATCATGCCTTGCAACAGATATAGCTACAGTAAGACTACAGACAATGAGGTGTTATTTATAATAAAGCAACCTTAAAAGTAAAACAGGGGTCTGCATGAAGGGGATAATATGAGCAATAGCCTAACGTTTGATATGTTTATTTTGATAATAATAATAATAATAATAATAATAATAATAA